TTTTTCTTTATATAAATTAAGTTACCTCATCACATGCATAATTTCAACAATTCCACACAATAGTTAAATCAATCATCCCTCCTTTGGAGGATTCCATTAGCTGAACCTATGCTACCAAGAAGTACATGAGTTTTTCTTCAAATTTTTATACCATTTGCTTATTAATCTTTTGTTTTATACCTATACTAATGCAATTCATAACAATTAAAGTAATTAAATGCATTTTTCCATTCAACCATCAAAAGGGGAGACATTTTTTTCCCATAATTTTTCACAATTCTCACTTTACCTAAACCTTATTCTTGTCCAAAAACATAATTTAAAGTAAAAAAAATCTTTCCAAACAACACAATACATTATACTAAACTTTCCATAATGTATACATAACATAAAATGGTTATAAAGATATCAAAACTTCAGTAGATTCAAATTAAGTTTCCTTACCTCTTAATGATGATAAATCAATGGGAAATTGCAAAGAAAACTCAAGTTTCTCATTCACTCTTCACTCTTCTTTTTTATTTCTCAAAACCCTTAATTTACACTCTTAAAATCCTCTAAATCTCGGGTTTTTCTCTTTTAATCCACTCAAAACTCAATTAACTCCTTAAATCTCCCCTTTTTTGGCGTTTTCCCATTAATTTGGTAGAGAAGGAAAAAATCCACTTATGTATGGTGTTGCCAGCCACAAGCTTCTTTAAGAAAAGAAGCTTTATATATATATATATATTTCAAAGACCACAATGCTTTTATATCTATTCCATGTATTTTTCATTTAATTAGAATCTAAATATTTATTCATTAGAAAATTCTTTTCAATGATTTATTATTCTTTCCATTTTAAGTATTTAATTAACCCATGTTGCCATTAAGTTTAATTTTTGATATTGTTATTAACATAATAAAATTATACTTGGGTTTATAGTCCACATAATGGTGAAGCAATTTAACATACCTAATCCTTCATATTTTTTTTCCTAAGGGTTTACATTGATGTTTTTTCTTAATGCTTTGCAATGGCTATGACATGATAATATTAAAAAAAATTATTTTAATATATTTTTAATTAAAAAATATTGTTAAAAAGCATGATTCATCATACTTCCAAACACACTGATATATCTATGCAGCAGTTTTCTTCTTTACAAAAGAGAGGAGATGGAAGGCAGTTGTGCAACCGTTATTTCCAAAGTAAGAGGAATTGGAGGTAGCTCCAACAGAAAAACAGAGGGGAAACCGACCCGAGGAGCAGGTATGATTTCTTTTATAGCTTCAGCAGAAAATCACACCGTGCTCTTAAAATCAATGTCCATCGCTCTTTATTTTAATTAATGTGTTTTAATTTATGTTATATTATATAAGAAAGAAGGTCATTTCTTAATGAATTGATATTCATAGTAATTCATTAATCCAAACTTAGTTTAGGCAACATTTTGTTATAAATCGAATTGGAAATTAACCAATTAAGTCTGCCCAATCTAATTAAATTTAATTAACTCAGTTGACCTATTTAAGTTTAGGTGAGACTTGGTTAAGTCAACTTCAATAAAAAAAAAAATTTAACTTTTGTCTAAAATAACAACAATATGCTTATGAGATGCAAATACAGATTCCAAATTGCCCCTTGCAGCCTAATCATGAGATTTAATTTACACAATCTTGGACCAAATTTGGAGCATTAATTCAATCATGATATTGTACACTTACAGGAATGTGCCAGCCAAAGGGAAAAAAAAATATAAATCTCGCCGAGAATATAGGTAAGCACCTCTTAATTGTATTATTAGCTAGGTTTAGTTTGTCTCTTGAATTATTTAGGCAAGTGCTTAACACATGGGACCAGTCCAGCTTCATCTAATTTAGGTTGCCTCTAAAAACATGTAACCATGTGGTTTATATTAATTGCGATCTTTTGATATCATTAATTGACATATTAATGATTTTCCTCAGGATGCGATAAGTTAATAATTTAATTATTTTAATGAATCAAATCAGTGATTTTCTTCCCTTTGATTGAGACACCGGGTAATGTAGAGAGACACCTGATAATGTATAGAGGGTCTATTTATTTTTGTATTTTAAAAGTATTTTAAAAAAATTAAATTTTTTTATTTTTTATTTACTTTAAATTAATATATTTTTAGTATTTTTAAATTATTTTAATGAGCTAATGTTAAAAATAATTTTTTAAAAATAAAAAATATTATTAACATGTATGTATTTTAGCATGAATTTTTTTTTTAAAAAGTAATTACAATTATATTTTCAAACAAACTCTTAAAACTACTAATTAACTTTTAAATTAATGATGATTTTCAACATGCAACTTAGAAAAGTGGGTCAAGAATCTCATGCATTGATCCTTAGACAATAAGGAGCATTGGATAATGAAATTAAGGTTTTTTTTTAAGATAAAAAAAAAACTGAACCATTATATTTTGAATATATAAATTATAAAAAAGAAATCACAACTATTTATCATAAAATCATTCTATCTCGATTTACACATAAGTTAGTTTTAAAATACTCTTCAATCATTAATGAAATGATTATTAAACTAAGATAATTTATCGTGTTATTATGGACATTAAATTCGGTTTCTTGAATTTTATAAATAACTTACTTAAGTGACTAAATGAATTTTGTTCCCAATTATTTCTCATGGAGGCAATTACTTAACTGTGAGCCCAATGAAAAGTTCTGGATGGAGAATTCGGATAATGTTTTATCCTTCGGCATTTCTGCATGAATCAGCTGGTCCCCGGGACATGAACATGCACCCCTGTGTTTGCAAGCCCAAGACTTGGTGCAATGCCCCCTTTAAGCGTGGAAGTGTAACATCTGCACTTAAATTGCTGTTTTATTTCTTACAATATTTGATCGATTAGATTAAATGATCATCTTACCAATCTACAAATGAATACGAGGAAGAAAAATGATCAGACAAAGATCTAGTACCTGAACGTTTTTCAGCATTCGCTTGGGACAATATCCAATTACGTCTGTAGAAACTGAATTAATTAAGCCAACCATTAAAGGAGACGAGCAACTAGAAATTCAAGGTAAACATATGTTAATTTTTTAAAACAATCATAAGCATGTGGTTCTTGATTAATTAAATATATGCAAATCTGGAGTGATATTTTTTAAATAAAATGATGTAGATGCAATTGATAGAACTCGTGTTGCTGCTTGGTCTGTTGCATAAATAAATAAATTAAAAATTCATGGTAAAAGAGCTTCACCTGTGACGCAAAATGTCATGGTTGCTTGTTCTCGTGTGATGTTCATGTTTGTCAACAGTGGTTGGGAAGGAATAATTAATGATGCATGTGCATTTATGGATGCATTATCTTCATAAGGAAATAATTTTTCCATGCCAAGTGGTGCTACATGAGCACGTGCAACATTCAAATAATTAATTTTTGTATGTATTATGACTAATGATGGCTATCATAATGTTCCTGGTGCATTGCATATTAGATCTGATCGATTATTTATAAAATATAATAGAGAAAGACTAAAATTTTTAAATGAGGGCCGTACTAATATAGTACAAGTATATAAATAGATATAAGTTTAAAGGATGTATCTCCTGAATTTATTCTTAAAAAATTATCAATTTAAATTTTATAAATTTTAGAAATATTAAAGATTTACATGATTATTAATTTTATAGCTCATAAAATTAATCAAAATATATATAAATTGCCTTAAATATCTATATTAATAAAAAATATTTAAATAAATATATCTTGACAATAATAAATTAATTTGATAAAAAAATCATTATAGATTAATTGTGGAATGATTATAACATTTATTAAAAATTTTAAATAATATTGTTAAGTGTAAAATTTTATTATTAATACACTCTAATAGTGAAAAGTATTATAATATCATGTTTATTCTAACATCTCATTTGATTTAATTAGATGAAATATTTATAATGATAAATGATGATAAAAAAATATTTGTGTATTTTAAAATGTTAACAATATCATATTTTTTATCAAATGAAAAAAAAAATAACATGAACACATTTTTTTTATTTTACAGAAGAAGAAAATAAAATAAAACTAAAAAAGAAAAAAGAAAAATTGTTTTGTATTAATTAACAGTACCTAACATTTTGTCTTGTTAGCCATCGTATTCAAGAAGGGGATAAGGGCGCCGAGTCCCCTTATTGGCTATATACGGATAACTTTGTTTAAGGACGTCAGCTTTGACCGCAGGATTTCTGAGCTGTTAGTATTTGACCAGAAGTCAAGCGGCATCTATCATTCAATGCTTCTAGTTCCTGCCATGTTCGAAGCCGTCGCGCGATTTACATTTTTTTATTTTGCATAAAGCCAGCTTCACTCACTTGCATCATAATCAAGAGTACTTTTCTCACTGTCAAATGATCAACTTTTGCCAACTACGTAATATTAAAAAAGTATTTGGCGCCGTATTTACATCGTATATAAAACTATTTCTTAAAATGTATTTAAAATATAAAAAAATCGTCAAAATTGGTGGTTTTTTTTAAGTGATTTAGAAATATTTTCATTGGTTGAAGTTAAAATAACAAAAATTATATTTCACATTTTTCTCAATTTAAATGTGTTTTTATAAAATCTTTTACACTCTGTTACTGAATTTGCTCATTTATTCAAAATCAGCACCAAATGTTAAAAATGGTATCATGCAGATCAACTTGTAGAGAACACATGTTGGTAATATCTCCACAGAGCATCGCCACGAAATTAGAAGGAAAACAAAATTATCGAGGAAAAAAAAGAAAATAGAAAAGGACAAAAAAAAGAAGCCCCCCCACCATTATCACAGATCAAGATAATGATGGCCGGGCTACATCCCATCAAGCTTCCATCCGCGTTATCCTCTCTTTTCTTGAACAGGAAAGCGCCCGCCAAGAAGAATCTTTGATTTAATTATAGAAAATGGAGGGCTTTCAATTACAAAAATGCCATCCTAAAGGGCTTATAAAAGGCGACCAGTCTCCGCCTTGGTTTCATATCAAAGCCACCTAAATCAAGCAAGCAACCAGAAATAAGTTTCCTCCAATCCAATGGAACTGCCATTGTTTTCTCTTTGTTTTCTCCTCTCAATATCCTTCATTGCCCATGCTACTGTTCCTCCTTCTGCAACATTTAAGTACGTCAATGAAGGAGAGTTTGGGGAATACATTTCGGAGTATTTTCCAGATTATCGTCCATTGCCCATAAGTACTTCCCCTTTCCAACTTATCTTTTATAACACCACCCCAAATGCATACACTCTCGCTCTGCGTATGGGTACTGTGAGGTCAGAATCAACAATGCGTTGGGTTTGGGAAGCCAACCGAGGAAACCCAGTTCGCGAAAATGCCACTCTCACCTTAGTGGAGGACGGAAATCTTGTATTGGCAGATGCTGATGGGAGGGTCGCTTGGCAAACCAACACAGCCAATAAAGGTGTTGTTGGCTTGCAATTGCTGTCTAATGGCAACATGGTGCTTCATGATTCCAAGGGAAAGTTTATCTGGCAAAGTTTCGACTCTCCTACAGATACCCTGTTGGTGGGCCAATCACTTCGTGTCGGAGGTGTAACTAGGCTTGTGAGCCGAGCCTCTGAGACGCACAACTCCGATGGGGCCTATAGCCTGGTCATGGAACCCAAAAGACTGGCCATGTACTATAAGAGTCCGAATTCCCCTAAGCCATATATCTACTACGCTTTCGATTCAGTGTACAAAGGTCGTCTACAGAATGCGACTCTAAATTGCGCTCCAAACGGATACGACGAGGTTGCTAATGACCTCACTTTGGATCTCTCTACCGGGAACGGATTGACACTCGCTAGACCCAAATACAACAGCACGTTGTCGTTTCTTAGAATTGGGATAGATGGGAGCCTTAAGATCTACACATACAACAATAAAGTGGACTATCAAGCATGGGAAGTGACCTACACTCTCTTTTCCAGAGATGGTTTTCCGGAGGGAGAGTGCCAATTACCCGAGAGATGTGGTAAGTTTGGGCTTTGTGAAGACAGCCAATGTGTTGCTTGCCCATTGCCAAGCGGACTCATGGGCTGGAGCAAGGACTGTGAGCCAGTGAAGCCTCCAGCCTGTGGTTCTAAGAATTTTTACTACTATAAACTAGAAGGTGTTGATCATTCCATGAGCAAGTATGCAAGTGGAAGCGGAGCAATGAAGGAAGACGACTGTGGAAAGAAATGTTCAAGTGATTGCAAGTGTCTGGGTTATTTTTACAACAAAGACACATCCAAGTGTTGGATTGCTTATGATCTTCAAACCCTCACCAAGGTTGCAAACTCTACGCATGTGGGTTACATAAAGGCACCAAAACACTAAGGAAAGCTCGACCTCCTTGTATCTTTAAATTAACTCCAAACTTCCAAGTTTTCTCGTTAATGGTGGTGATTTCTTATAATTATGCTTTCTTGTTCTTATTTCCAAGTGGAAGATTGAAAACTGTATACCGCTGAATAATGATAATAAAAGACGACTGTATGCTTTAGTTCTCCACCAAAAAGAATGTGTCCCTTTTAAAGTGCTGCTCGATGCCTGTCAAACTCTCCATCATTATATTATATATTTTATTGACGGATTTTATTAATATATGTCACACAACACCCAAGTATTTATTGAAATCAGTAAATTGAAATTTTATGGCCAAAATTAAGATTTATTAGCGTTCGAAAGTTTTAAATCATAAAAGCATAAAAGTATAAAATTGAAATTTTGAGTTAAATAGTTGTTCCAAAATAAATTTTGAGTTAAATAGTTGTTCCAAAATAAATTTTGAGTTAAATAGTTGTTCCAAAATAAATTTTGAGTTAAATAGTTGTTCCAAAATGCCTTCGAAGTTAGATAATTTGTGTTTAGAAGGTGCTAGATTTTGAGAACTTTTTTATATATTAAAAACAAATGCTCGAGGGATGCAATCATGTTTAAAAAAAGTAATAGGATCCTAATGAGCAGGAAAAAAAAACTAGTATAATTTAATTAGATAATAAAAAAAACTAGATAATGATAATAAATGGACCAATTTAAACAAAATATATCATGAAAACTTGGAAAAAAAAAGTTGTTGAAACATAAAAGGCATTAAAGCTAAGATTCCAACAAATCAAATGGAAAAAAAAAAGAAAAAAATTAAAGAAAAAAGAACCAACATGAGTTGATCAAATAAGCATGTCAAATATGCGTGTCATTAATAAAAGTGGAATAAGTTAACATAAAGCACACAATAAAAATAATAAAAAAAAGAAGCTAAAATACAACTTAGATCATTTTTTTTTTTCAAGGAATATAGGGTATACTAGCTAGCTTTTACACACCATATTAAAGCCTACCAGACTCTACAACTTAGATTATTTTTTTTCCCTAGGAATACAGGGTATACTAGCTAGCTTTTACACACCAGATTAAAGCCTACCAAACTCTACAACTTAGATCATTTTTTTCCCTAAAAATGCAAGAAATGCAGGAGATATTGGCTAGCTTTCACACGCCAGACTAAGTCCCTATAGCCCAAAACTAGCCTTTACACCTGGTGCCTTTCACCCTACGGCCCCTAGTCCTAATAGTTTTTATTGATGGAAGGATTCAAACTTGAGATATAGAGGGAATAAACACCCAAACCCCTAACTATTTTTTGCTAGACCAACACCTTGAAGTTGTGACTTAGATCATATAAATGAGATAACTCAGTAGAAGGTGAGCCAAAAAAGATTATGAATTTTAATTCTAAAAAAACTTAATATTAAAGGATGAAGAGTAAAAAATATTAAATTAAAAAAAATCTTATAAACAACATAAGCTAATGCAAACTAACACATGAAACTCATAGTTTAAGTGATAGGACTAAGATAAACAAATAGAAAAAAATTAAAAAAGTAATCATGAAGCCTAGTATTGAAAAACTCTAACCTTGAATGATGAAATTAAAAAAACAAATCTCAATTAATAAAATATTAAAAGATAAAATAAAAAAAATATTAATTCATTGAATTTACCAAAGTAAATTCAACAAAGAATGATAAATAAAAAGAATATGGATAACTCGAGTTATTTCAGAAACCAATAAATTTTTTTATAGAAAAAAATAAATAAAACAACGGATCTTAATCTCAAATCAAAAAAATACCAAAGGATTAAATTAAAAAAATATATATGTGAGCTTAAGAATTGAAGCAAAATCTAGTGAACCTTCTAAACCTAAGTTGATTTCAAAAACTCATAACCCATGGGATCTTAAACCAAAGCTCCATTAACAAGCTCAATTCTCAAAGAATTTAAAGTTAAAGGATTAAATCAGAAAAAATATCAACTTAAGAAATTTCTTTCAAAGAAAAAAACAATAAAAATAATAAAGATTAAATTTGATAATAAGAAAAAACTTGAGGATCAAATTCTGACTCGTAAAATCCTAGATATAGGTTCAATCAAGAAGCTCAGTTTCGAACCAATTTAATGTTTAAGGATAAAATTAATAAAAATAAAAAAATAAGAATCAAATCTAATTGGAAAAAAAATGAAAGAGAATTAAATCAAAAATCAATTTTAAAATCCATCTCAAATGAAAAAAACTTACCTTGAGACAATAACAGATAAATCAAACAAAACAAACTTAGGCCAAGTCAATATGGGTTAAGCCACAAAACCTATGATACAACATATAAGATTAAGATAATCCTATTAAAGGATGAAATAAACAAAATCAATTGTGAAAGAGACTTAAAAATATAACTAGGTCAACCTGAGCTAATCTTTCAATCTCACAACTTGAGTCCTGAGGTTAGAATTGTCTTATAAAAGGCAAAGCTAAAAAAAATCATGAAGCTAAATTTTCGATCAACAAAATATGAAGAGATAAAATTGAAAAACAAATTCAATAAAAAAGATCTAAAACAAAACAAATAACAATAAAAAATTATGGATGAAATTTAAAATAAAAATAAGAGGAAATCAAATGTTGAGGGTTGCTACTAAAAAACAAATTCAATTCAAAAAATGACCAAAAACAAATAGCAAGTAGAAAAATAAGGACTAAATATGATAGATAAAAAAATCAAAGGAGGATGAAATTGAAGGAAAATTCTAATTCTATGAATCACTAAAATAAACCAAATAGTAAAAAAAGAAATAAAGGCCAAATATGAAAAAAAAAAATTGAAGGGCTACTGTCATAACCCAATTCTGGGTTATTCCCCTAAAATTATCTTTTTTCAAAATAAAAAATAAAAAAATAAAATAAAGACTGGCAACATGGAGAATGCAAGCCGGGGAATCAAGCTGCGATTTTTGAAGGAAGTTCAAGATCTAATTGCACCCCATTGTGCCAAAAAATGGAAAAAAATGCAAATTCAAGGTCAAATTAAATAATTATTGGAAAAATTTGCATAAAAATTAAGTCCAATGACATAATTAAATTTTTAATAGGCCAATTTCATTTAATCATGGGCCAAATTAAATTTTAATTATGTTTAAGAATTAATTTGGGTCCAATTGAAGGATTTAATTAAATGCAAGGGCTTAATCATACTTTAAATGGGCCAAATTAAATTTTAATTATGTTTAAGAATTAATTTGGGTCCAATTGAAGGATTTAATTAAATGCAAGGGCTTAATCATACTTTAAATGGGCCAAATTAAATTTTAATTATGTTTAAGAATTAATTTGGGTCCAATTGAAGGATTGTTTGGGAGCCTAATTTAGGCTTAATTGAGAAGATTAGAATTTTAAGAACCCAAATTTATTTTTTACCGAGTTAATTGATTGAAATTAAGGGCCAAATTGCAAGAAAATTAAAGTTTTGGATCAATTAGGGGTTAAATTGACAAAATTCGAGATCAAAGACCATTATACAACAAGCGGCAAACTATAGGGTCTCAATTGACAAAAACCTGGAGGCAAAATTAAAGAAATTAAAAGTTTAATGGTCAATTAGGGGTTAAATTGACAAAATTCGGGACCAAGTACTATATTGTAAAAGGCGAGTAACTTTGGGGTTCCAATTGAAATTCGCAAGGGTATAATTGCATTAAATCAAAAGTTTGGGTCAATTTAGGGTACAATTGCATAAAATCAAAAGTTGGGGGCTGCTTTAAATTATGGAGAAATCCCTATTTAAAACCTAAAACGGCGCCGTTTTGAGTTAAAAAAAAAAAGGGACCAGAAGATGCATCGTCTGGTCACTATTCATTATCTTCTTTATTTTTCCAGAAAAACTAGTTTGGTCATTCCCTTTACAGGTGTATTTAATGCACTTAACGTCCACTAAATTTGCCAAAACTTGCACTAAATTGATGTGGCAACGGCTCTCAGGTGGTTCTCCTCCCTGCATCGCCTCCTCCTACTTCGTCGAGGCCGCTGCATGCAGAATTCATTTCTGCATGCAGCGGTAGAATAATTAAATTTGCCATTGGGCTGGGCTGCTCTGGCTCGATCCTCAATTTTTAAAAAAAAATCCAAAATTTTCAAAAATCATTAAAAAAACTGTAATTTTCTCAAATATTTTTCTATCCATTTTACATAATATCAGGTTGTATATTTACACCGTAAAATACAAATATGGTATTAAAATACCCGATTTTCTTCAAAATATTTCAAAAAAATAAAAAAATTTCAAAAAAAATCTGTTAAATCAATTTCCATTTTTTAAAAAAATTATTTTCATGCATGCAGCCAAATCCTAAAATTTTTCTAGCATGTTTTCATTAAAAAAATTTGCGTATTTCTCATGTTTTGAAAACCCAAAAATAGATATCATAACCAGTTTATGATCACCCAT